GTTGGATCCGGTCGACCGCGAGTGGTTCTGCGGTCGACCGCGAGTCGGGTCTAAGCTGAGTTTTGGTTTTCAACCCGTTTCATTTCTTGGTTGATATATAAGTCTAATCCTAATTAATTAGGGTTAAGCAATGACGTTTTGAGCAGTCTTTGAGAGGGGATTGTTGCATCCAATTGTGGAAGATTTGTGAGAGATCTAGAGGCTTTGTTTTAGGGTTTATTTGAGGGATTTGTAACCCTATTTGTATTCTCTTGATTTCTAATAGTAAGAACCCCCTTCTTACCCCGTGGACGCAGACAACTTGTCGAACCACGTAAAATTCATTTGTCTTGCTGTGATATTGTGTTTGACTTATTGGTTGTGATTTATCTCGTTCTTATTCGTGTGGTTTCAAGCTTCCGCCGCGCAACATACATCAAAATAAGCACCTTACGTTACCGTAATATGTCGTACAAATATTGATGACAAATTGTTGCACTCTACTCTTTATCCTCAATCTTGGAAGATTTTCCACCTCTTTCTGTCTTCAATCAACCGATGTACCTATTATCCTCCAACAAGTTGGGTTAACGTGGGCCTATATATGTAACTTTGATTGATTTCTGATCACACAAGAACGTGTATTAATGCACTGTCACCGGTCCTAGACATGCAAGTGGTACTACTTTATTCATCAGAGATCTTTGTCTTAAGAAAATATCTAGTAGTTTAGATGTACCTTGACCATATTCTAATGAAATTCACGGCTGTTTGGTTGGCCAAAACACAAGAAATTCATAGAAAACCTATTTCTTGTAATAGTCACTTTTTTTTGACACGCTCCTTAAAATTAGGAAAAAAATATAAAATCATACGAGGCATCACCAACTTACTGAATGATGTGATTTATTTTTTACAATACTTATTTCATAGATTTTTTGGAGGAAATGACTGGAAACCATCTTTTGATGGTTTTTTCCCCCAATTTTCTTTTCAATAAAGTCTAAGAAACCAACCAAACAGGCTATAACTCAAAAGTAAATAAGCATGACAAAAACAAAATAGTTACATACACAAGATGTGCAAACTAGAATGAGTTTCACTTATATCTTTTTGTTTGTACGTCTTTGCAATTCCACACAGTTATATCTTTTATATCATTTTATAGATGAGAAAATCTTCACTTGATTTATCTTGCGACTTAACCTTAAATAGAACAGAAGATCATGTTTAACTTTTTCTCTCTTTGTAGCATCCAATTGATTAAAATCCTAAGCTCGCATTTGTATTTACAGTCTTATCAGTCTTATCGCTAGGTCGAATCCAATTTGTTGGCTAGAGATTCTTTACATCATTAGTTGTAGAGAAACTCTACTACAACTTGGTGATATATATACACTGCATACTATAATCTTTTTCATTCTGTATGCCTCATTACTGATATTGTTACATAGAATATGTAAAATTAATTATTTTAATTGTGGGATCCCCTAAATGCTATTGATCCATATTACTAATTGGAGGGTAGAGATCCTCTACATCCTTAGTTGTCGAGAAATTCTATAATTCACTTATCAAATCTCTTCAACGTATATAAAATTATTTAACTGTGGGGCCTATTGATATAAACCAATAGTATTAGTCCACATAGTTAATTGTAGGCTTTCTCTACAAACAAGATTATAGAGAATCTGAACCCCTAATTAGAACAGTTATAATCAAGATTATAGAGAACTGAAGCTCAATTTGTTAGTCCCACTCATTTGGACAATTGCAAGATTGGTCTCATTTCACCTTAACTTTAATCCTTTTCCAACTTCTATAAGGTAGAGTATAAATTTTTTCAGAACAACCACATACAAACAAAATGTCAGGAGCCTATTCGTGGAAAGAGCAGGGAGCAATTTGGAACTTTTAACTATTATTTTATGGTTTCAACCATACAACCTGCATAAAGTTATTTTGATAAAATTTGTATTCTCAAACAAACAACAAATATATATATATATATATATATATATATATATAAATATATATATATTAATATAATATATATATATATATATATAATATAAGATTAATGTGTATCCTTGTCCCATAGAGGGGATTTCCTCATTGACAGCCGTCTAAAATCCACAGATTGGAGCCGACATTGTGGATGATCCGCTCCGTTGAATGCTTAGAGTACATATTCTAGAAACCCCACACAGCCAAGTTAAGGGTGAATCCGTCGTCGTTTGACCCTCCATCGAGCCATGTGAAAAGTCTATTCATCAAAACCGGTTAAAATTGATACGAGTGGTATGAAGGGTCAAACGACGAGCGGGTTCACCCCAAACTTGGTGGTTATGGTTTAGAATAATGTGATCAAGTTCAACGGAGGCAGGATCATCCAAATGTCGCTCATCATCGTATTTTAGTAGGGTACAAAGGAGGAAATCCCCCCTATGACAAGGATACCCATTAATATCTATATCATATATATATATAATATTAAGTATATATATACCTACTATACTATATATAGATAATATATTTATAATGATAGTATATATAGTAAAACTATATATATATAATACTATAAGCACTATCTACCATTTACTTGATCCAAAATAGATTAATAGCCAATCAATTTACTTATGATCCCATCCATTCATTTTATCTTTATGATTCAAATAGTATATAAACAAAAAATAGACATATGGGTTGTATTTACTAATGCATCAAGTGATGGTAAAAATTAACGAGGATTCACACGACAGCACAATCAAAGAGACAATGAAAAGATAATGTGTTAGATAAATTTCAAAGCATCAATGATTTTATATTTGTAGACATTTTTAAAAAATGATCATACGAGTAAATGGAGGCAGATCCGTCCATTGAAATAGCCGAATCGCTTATATTCTTGAAAGGTGCATTCTTAGTATCAATCTAAGGTGGCTCCTTAGTGATCATATTTTCTCATACTATATAATATAATATATTATATATAATATAATATAATTATATATTTTTTGGAAACTTGAACAGTGACATAACATTTTTTGTTTATGACTACTTCTAGGCACGAAATTAGTAAAAAGGATCAATACGTAACCTCCTAATTGAAATCGTGAGAAGGATTATGGGGTGAAGAACCGTACAATTCTCTATACAGTGTCTCCGTGTAGGATCATTTCCCCATCGTCCGAAAGAGATCTCAAACAAACAACAAATATATATATATATATATATATATATATATATAAATATATATATATTAATATAATATATATATATATATATATAATAATATATGATTAATGTGTATCCTTGTCATAGAGGGGATTTCCTCATTGACTAGAGCCTCTAAAATTCACATGATTGAGCCGACATTGTGGATGATCCGCTCCGTTGAATGCTTAGGATGCTACATATTCTAGAAACTCCGCACACAGCAAGTTTAGGGTGACTCCGTCGTCGTTTGACCCTCATCGAGCCCATGTGAAAAGTTCTATTCATTCAAAACCGGTTAAATTGATGACGAGTGGATGAAGGGTGCAAACGACGAGCGGGTTCACCCCAAACTTGGTGTGTTATTGGTTTAGAATAATGTGATCAAGTTCAACGGAGCGGATCAGCCACAATGTCGCTCATATGTGATTTTAGAGGGTAAAAGGAGGAAATCCCCTCCTATGACAAGGATACCCATTAATAATCTATATTACTATATAATAATATATATATATATATATATATATATATATAATATATATAATATATATATATAATAATTATAAATATATATATAGTATATAATATATATACTTGATCCATTTACTTGATCCAAAATTAGATTAATAAGCAATCAATTTACTTAGATCACCTCCATTCAATATTTTGATCTTTAATGATTCAGATAGTATATAAACAAAAAATAGACATATGGGTTGTATTTAGCTAATGCATCAAGTGATGGGTAAAATTAACGAGAGAATTTCACAGACACGTCACAATCAAAGAGACAATGAAAAGATATGTGTATAGAAAATATTCAAAAGCATCATGAATTTTATTTTGTAGATATTTTTAAAATAATGATTCATAGATAAATGGAGGCAGATCCGTCCATTGAAAGCCGAATCGCATTATATTTTGAAAGGTGCATTCTTAGATATCAATCTAGGTGGTGCTCCTTAGGATCATAATTTTTCTCATATATATAATATAATATATATATATATATAATATATTATAATATTTTTGGAAACTTGAACAAGTGACATAACATTTTTTGTTTATGACTACTTGAGGCACGAAATTAGTAAAAAGGATCAATACGTAACCCTCTAATGAAATCGGAGAAGGATTATGGGGTGAAAGAAGCCGTACAATTCTCTATACAGTGTCTCGTGTAGGATCCATTTCCCCATCGTCCGAAAGAGAGAGGCTACTTTTAGCAGTTTAAAATATTTGAATTTCCAAAGTAACGACTCGCCCATTCAGTTTGCGATCCACTTGCAAGGCCCACCAGCAAGTATTTATAACTTCAGGGCCGCAACACTACAAAAGCCCGAATTCCACTTTTCCACAAGTCGCGACCCGAGACGCTAATGCAGATGCCCCCCCTTCTCCTTTGGCTGCCAGCTGTCCCTGTCGCACCGTTACTCCTAGACTCCTCCTCGTACGCCGAGTCTCGTGGGGTCGGCTGTCCGCACCGCCAGCGTGCCGTTACCGGCCTCATGCGAGCCAAGCTAAGAGGAAGAGAATCATCGGTCTGTACCTCTGCCGAACGAGGATCGCCTGCCGCACGTGCCAAGTCTCTGCCAGCAACGGCTCATACGTGGACCACGTGTCCCGAGGCAGGAGGCCCGCGATCAACCAAACCTAATTGTTTGGCGTCGCCGCTCCCGATGAGGACTCGCCACGTATCCTCTCTAATTCCCTCTCCATGCAACACGTGTTGAATTCCTCTTCCTCAAGGGTACTTTCGACATTTTCCAACTTCAGGGGGAAACTCAAAAGCGTTCCCTGTTCTCCTCCCTTCTTCCTCCCTCTGAAGAAGCGAAGAACCCCTCTTTCTCTCTGTTTTCAGTTCCTTCTCGGCTGCTTTCAGAATTCTTACTCTCTCTAATTTTATAACAAATCGAGCATCTGGGTCTCGTGATTGTTTCTCTTAAGAGCTTACAAAAAAAAAAAAAAGATTGAATCTTGATATAAGTATTTCAATGGCGACGGAGGGCGAGGCAGACGAACTGTCTTCGAGAAGAAACATCTATCCGAAAGATTTCCTCCGGAGATTCACCGGAGAAGTCACCGGCGAAAAGACGGCGGATGTCGCCGGAGCTGACACGGGTGAGGTTGAGCTGAGCCTCGGCCTCTCTTTAGGGGGTTGCTTTGGAGCAGAACCGAAAAGACTGGCTCGGGCCTCGTCGATCTCGACGCTTTCAATGTTCTCTGTCGAGCGCTCTGAGGCGCTGACGAGGACTTGGTCGATGCCATTGGAGAGCGAGGAGGAGGGTAGGAAGAGGAGGGAGATGCAGAGCTTGAAGAGGATGGAGGCTAAGAGAAAAAGATCGGAGAAAAGAGCGGCGGTGACTAAAGATCTGAAGGAGGAGGATTTTGATGAGGATTTCGTGAAGGTGAATGGATTTGTCGCTCCTGCTGAGCTGCCGAGATGGCCGCCTCGGCCGGCTTCGCAGGGGTCTGTTGGCTCGCAGGGGAGTAGCTCTTCGGTGGTTTCGGATTTTGGGAGGATAGTGAATCCAATGCAAGGTATTTATTTATTTATTTATTTATTTGTTTGTTTTTTTGGTTCTTTCTGCATTGCTCATTGATTTCATGTTCATTAGATTTTGTAAGATATGAACTAATTATATATAGCTTTCTAGAACTAAATTTTCCAATAAAGTTTGCTATGAATGCTAAAGTTTAGACACTGGAAGATGGCAAGGTAGGTTGCCTTACCTACCAAATGGTCCTCAAGATTTTACTGATGCCGGATGTTTTCCCACAAAAATTCGCCACTATAATTTGCTTACGTTTGTATGAGGTTTTTGACCTCGAAAGGTGGACTTACTGAGTGTGAATTGGTTCGACGAGGACTCTCTGTTTAAAGAATTCATAGATGAGCGTGCGTTGGTTTTGGGTTTTTGTTGGGTGTGGGATTCAAGAGGACGTGTATTTTGGTTCATGCTTTCTTATGTCAACCATTTTCAAAGAATGAAAACCTTTATATTTTATAATCCCAACATTTAGGTTGTGCTCATCCGTGTACAGCTCCAGTCGCTTTTAGACTATAGAACTACGACCCTCAGCCCTCACCATAATTTCGAAGCTTTTTTAAGGTTTTTCCTACCGTGGAAAGGACCTCCTTCTAACCTGGTACCAAGGCAAACCAGGTTCAAATTTTTATTGGCCACGATAAAGCGGATTTAAGAACTGTAATATATTTTTGGCCCATTAAAATGGCCAGCATTTTAGAATATAAAATTATGTAAAATTATTAGCCCCTGTTTCTCACTCTTACCAACAACTTTGGAGTTTTGGTTTAGTGGAAGGACCTTTAATGACCACGAGAAACTTATCAAATGCCTAAAGGGTATGTGTATGGATGTTTCATATGTCATAACCTGTCTTGTCCTAACCATAAAGGTCCATTTGGTTTGTTGTAGTTGGAGCTGTAGTGTAGTTTTAAATAAAACTACATGAAATACATGAAGCTCCTATTGTAATAGTTAAGAGTGCATACGAGAAGTTTGTTTGACGAGTGAAAAATGATGCAATAGTTATCGTGCAATTTTTGTTTTTGGACAGTATAAATGTCCTCCATGCTAGGGAAGAAAGAAACAATTCTTCTCTTGTCTTTGGTTGGATTAATTCCTAACAGCTTGGATATTTTCAGAGTGCCTAGCTATTAATAAATTAATTAAAAAGCCAACAACGTAGCGGTTAATTAACTAATTTAAAAGCCAACAGCTTGTTCTTGTTTAGTACTTAACTAATATCCAAATTATTCTTCATCTGCAACGTGTTACAACATTACAATTTCGATATAAATCACACAATTTGCACTGGAAAATTGTCATATACATCAAACAATACCATGACAAGCTAATGATTGGTAAACGACAAGCAGAACTCTTCTAGGCTAAATTGAATACTACATCATCATGTCATTATTAGACTTATCTTCTATAACTTTGTCAAGTTAATGAAAAATACGTTGCACTACAGCCCAAAACACTTGTCACAATTATATATACCCATTGGATTCGTATTTGATTCTGTTGGGGTAAGACAAGGTGTCGACTTTTGCAAGAATTTATACGGTTTGGATGACAGGGTACGATGCAGATAATTGCGTGGACAACCCCAAAAAGGGGGCTTCAAGGCCATTCTTTCAATTTCCTACTTTAGCTGAAAGCGTTATGGATAGTTCTTTTTGTCGGGGACCATGATTACGTAGCTTATAACTTTCTTGTGATGTTCAGATATTGCCATTAAGGATTCACGACTTTACGTAGCTGTCTATTTTCTCTAGAAGACTAGCCACGTGGAACCAACATGAGCATGATATTACATTATGACCTACTGACGTGATCGTTAGATAATGATCTATATAACTCATTTTATTTGATGCCTAGAACTTAACGATGGGAAAAAGGAGAGCTGATATATTGTTGACGTCCTTTTCATGGCCATGTGCTGTTCTAAAACAATTGTGAGGAACTCGGTTGTCAAGGAATTGTATGAAGAGGATCATAAGGGGGGAGGCGATGCATGATCTGAGAACTTTGGAACTCCTACCTTTTTTATCTTTTAGATTTGTTTCTTAGTTGAAGATCTCTTGTAAATATGCGGGCCTATGAACTTATAGTAGGGTATGTCTTGATGATCACATTATCAAGTTCATACCATATTTGTTCATTCGATATCTTCATGTTGTACCATATCGGATCAGGATGTACATTTATCATTAGACAGAGGGATGCTGTGTGTAAGTACAGGTACATTATTATTATTAGGAAGGGGGCGTGTTAACAACAACAAAGCCGTTCAGCTACATGAATCCTATTTTTCCACTCAGTTTTATTAGGTGATATCCTTCGCTAAGTTAATCATTGCCATACTTTTACTACTGTTTCCAGTTGAGCTCTCTGAGTTCTCTCTCTTATACTTCGCTCTGCATTAGTTGGAATCTTATCATTTCTCCATAATGGTGTATTTAATGGCTTCCCTTGCATATGATAAATAATCCGAAACGCCCCTCTTGGAAAAAGAATGATATTCTTCTAACATGTAGTATGTTAACTTCTCTTTTCGCCTAAAAAAGAATTATGAACCAAAAACACTCAAGCATGAGACTTTGGTACCACTTCTATATTTTAGTTGGTTTGCAAATATCTTTAATTAGCCCTTTAAATTCGTTTACGCAGGTACCAGTGGCTCTGGATCAAAGAATTGTGTAGATCTTCAAACCTCCATAAAACCTGCAAACCCCTCAGCAGGAGGAGAAGAAAACCCATCAAAGAAGAGGAGCTGCACAGTGAACGACGGAGTGAAGGAGATGGAGAGGAGCATGATGGAAGAAATGCCATGCGTGTCCACAAAGGGAGACGGTCCCAACGGAAGAAGGGTCGAGGGTTTCCTTTACAGGTATCGGAAAGGGGAGGAAGTGAGGATTGTGTGTGTTTGCCATGGCACTTTCTTGACGCCGGCGGAGTTTGTGAAGCACGCGGGAGGCGGTGATGTTGTGCATCCCCTCAGGCATATTGTTGTTAATCCTGCTCCATCGGCCTTCTTGTGACACCTTGGTCTTTTCTGAGAAAGTATTGGCATTAATGACGCATCAAAGAGATATCAATCACCGAACTCTTGAATGAACTCTTGAGTATGTCGTCATTTTCTTTGCCAGGATATTGGATGACAATTGTCATCGGTAGTATGGGAAAAATTGTATTTACTCGAAAGGGTGGAGGGAAGAAGGATATTAGCCAATGAAAAAACAAAAGAAAAGGTTCTTTCTTTCTTTTTTTTTTCTTTCCCTTCGTTTTTTCTAGTTCGTGGTAAGAGTTGTGTTTGTGCCTCTTCTTTTGGAAATGGGATTTTTTTTTTTTTTTTGCAGAGTCTAATTTCTGTGCTTGGTGTCCCCAATTCTTTTAGTATATTTATTGGTGGTAAATGGCAAGTGCGCCTTGTGTAGGCCCGTGCCAGTTGTGCTCTCTCCAAAATGTCTGCTCAAGTTGGTTTTAGTTTAACTTGTGAATTGTGGATTTTGTAGTTTAATGACAGGATGGTGTTGTTTTAAGTTTGGGCCGGCGCTTTCGCTAGTCAGGGCCCCACACGAGCTGATGAAAAGTTAAAAGGGAGTAGAAGATGTTTTGTTGCTGTGCGTTGTTCTTCGTCGAGTAGTTGAGGTTATATTAATCATGAGGATAATCCCAAAATACATCGTGCTTAGGTTTAATTAATTATGCTTTTTTCTCCAACATGCTTGCTCAAGTTGACTTATTTAGTTGCGCTCTGTAAATTCATATGATCAAACCAACTTGCGAAATGTGGTATTCTACGATATGGCAACTTGGTCTTGTTTAAGGCCTGGTCGGTGACTCGGCGCTTTTAGAAATGAAGGGTCCCGGAGGAACTATTTATTTATTTATTTTTTAGAGGAGGAAGAGAAAATGCAAAGTTTATATGACCTAGGCTGTTTTGATAATGCTACGCTTATATTGAAATTGAGAACAGTCAGTATGATAAAAAAATATCAGTTGTTGTTGTTGTGGACAGTCTCAAGCTTAAACACTCTCTGTTTCCATCCAAAATCTTATTATGACCGGTGCATAGCAATAAATTGGAAAGCAAATGCAACTCGTAATAGAAGATAATACACAAAGAAAAGACTTACTTACTTTTAGCAGAATTTAAGTTTAAAAGTGTGTGTGTCTATATATATATATATAGGGAGAGGTTCAAATAAAAACCTCACTATCCTAAAAACTAAAAACCAATCCTCTCCATTGGATCTAGATTCATCCAATGGCTGAGATTAAAGCTGCATAAGGGTAATTAGGTAAAATAAACAGCCCACTAAGAGATGTAATTAATGCTTCTCTGTTGAGTTCTCCATTTCCCCATGCAACTCTCTCTCTCTCCAAAATCACAGCAACTCTCTCTTCTTCAACCTTCGTCTTCATGGTTTATGAAATTATTTTGACGCTTCGTCTTCACGGTCTTCTTCAACCTTCGTCTTCATGATTCAGTGGGCTGTTAAATTATTTTGACGCTTTAATGGTAAGTTTATAAAATTTGTTTGATTTTTCGTCTAAAAGTTTTAGTTTTAACCTTAAAGATCGTAACTTTTTGTTGTAAAAGGTGAAATATTTCACCTTTTAATCTGAAAAGTTTTTTGTTTTTTGAAGAAACCAGTTGAAAAACGAAGACACGCATAAGTGAATCTAGATTCACTACAGTGAATCTCGATTCACAGTAGTGAATCCAAATCCAGTATGTGAGGTGTTTGTTTTTTATCATAAAAATCGTAATTTTTTGCATAAGTGAATCTAGATTCACTGCAGTGAATTTCGATTCACAGCAGTGAATCCAGATTCAGTATGTGAGGTGTTTGTTTTTTACCATAAAAATCGTAATTTTTTGCTGTAAAAGATGAAATCTTTTCATGGTTTAAAATTTTATAGCTTATTTTTTACCATAACTTTCTTATTCTTTTTGTTTAAAATTTTATAGCTTGTTTTTCACCATAAGTTTCTTATTCTTCAATATAATCCAGATTCAATGGAGTGAATCCAGATTCACTCCAGCGAAAGCTTGGATGGTTAGGATGGTTTTTAATGAATTGTTGAAGAAATAAATGCATGTGCTGTAATTTCGAAGAAATAAACGCATGAGTGAATCTAGATTCACTACAGTGAATCCAGATTCAGTTATGTGAGGTGTTTGTTTTTTACCATAAAAATCGTAACTTTTTGCTGTAAAATGTGAAATTATATCATGGTTTAAAATTTTATAGCTTGTTTTTTACCATAAGTTTCTTATTCTTTTTGTTTTTTATTTTTGCAGATTTGCTATTGTTTGATAACGAGTTTCAGTCCACTGAACCTGGATTCAATTAAGTGAATCTGGATTCACTCCAATGAATCGAGCTTTAATATAATCCAGATTCAATAGAGTGAATCCAGATTCACTGGAGTGAATCCAGATTCACTGGAGTGAATCCAGATTCACTCCAGCGAAAGCTTGGATGGTTAGGATGATTTTTAATGAATTATTGTTGTGTTCTTCATGCGAAGATGGAAGATCAAAGCTTGATAGAAGATAGAAGTGAGTTACAGAGAGCAGAAAGTGAGTTAGAGAGAGAAATGAGGAAATGGAGAACTCAACAGAGAAGCATTAATGTAGTGAATTGTTCCACGTGTTGTATTTTTGGTTTCCAATATTGCCAGCCACCATTAATGTAGTGAATTGTTCCAATTTTACCCTTTTAACATTAATGATGTGTATTAAATTTATCTATATTTATAATTCTACCATCGAAATGTAGGTCATTGGATTAGATAGATTGGAGGGTTAGGATTGGTTTTTAGTTCTCTAGGTTTTTATTAGAACCTCTCCCTATATATATATATATATATATATATAGGATAGCAGGTTCCTAATCTGTTTTGGTAACAGGTTATTAGGATTCCTAATTTGTTTTATTTTTGGTTTTAGAATTCCTAGTCTGTTTTGGTTTTAGGTTTTCTATATATATGGAACGCCTTAGAAGAGATTATGATCATTAAAAAGAGGAGAGTTGTAATCAGAGATTAGAGAGACTTTTTGAGCATTGTGAGAGGGAGATATTATGAGCAAGTTGAGAGCTTTGGTTGAGGGTTAGTTTGTGAGTTTTGTGAGATTATAACCCTTTGTACTCTCCTTGATTTGGTGGAATCTCCCCATCCTCTCCCCGTGGACGTAGGTAAATTATCAAACCACGTATATCTCTGTGTTTGTGATTGATCTATCGCATTTTAGTTTTGGATTGTGCTCGTGTGTGATTGGTTATTCTTCTCCCATGCTTACGACTTGTTTGGTGAGAGAACACGCTTCCACATAGGCGTGCGACAATTGGTATCAGAGCTAAGATTTTAGATCTAGGGTTTTGCCATTAGGTGGAGGAAGATTCGTCATGAAAGCTTGGTTCTTGGAGTTCTAGGCTTCAATGGAGATAGGATTTGAAGTTACAGTTGGAGATCTCGCTTTCCTCGTGTGGTTAGGAGTTCTATTTGGAATCTAATGTAGGGTTCAGTTGGGTAATTTCTTATTCCTTTTAAAGTTTGAATCTTTCTTTGCAATTTGGAGTTTGCGAGTATAGGTGAAGAAGTTAGTAAAAGCAGCAAGATGGCGAGTATAGTCCAAGTTGGTTTCCAAAACACCAAAATTAGTATGGTAAAGTATGACAACAAGATAACTTTGGTTTGTGGATGAGTGACGTTCAAGATGCGCTCAATGCTCAGAATTTGGAGGAGACCATCATGGTCCAAGAGAGACCACCAAAATATAAAGAGGCGATATGAGAAAAGATGAATATGAACGCTTGTGGGGTGATTAGATCCTGTTTGAAACATGAACTAAAGTATGATGTGATTGGGGTGACGTCGGCAATGAAGATGTGAGAAATTCTCAACAATAAGTAACTTACAAAGAGTGTTGAGAATCATTTGCACTTGCTGCGAAGATTGTTCAGATTTCATATATCCCGAGGCACCTCACTAGCGGCTCATGTGAACAACTACACTAAGTTGTTATCGGACGTGGCGAATGTTGATGAGAAGATATCGGATGAGTACAATGCGATTATTTTGTTGGGCTCCTTACCGGATGAGGAGTATGATACCTTCGTGCTCACGTTATTGAATGAGAGGTCTTCTATCAACTATAGTGAAATTACTAATGTTGTGACAAACTAGGATTTGAGGAGGAAGGACGAAAAGACTTCCCGTGCTAGTACTTCAGGAGAGGCCTTTGTTTTCGTCAAAAGTTGAATTTTCCATTCTCGTCAAAACTTGTTACCGTTTATCAATTACAAGTTCAAGTTGTTCTTTTTATAAGATCTCCTTATAATGAGAAAAGTAAAGATTATAACTTTATGAAACAAAACACAGTAGTAGTTTATCTTCTGTTGCTTTGTGTGGGATCTTTGCCTGCGTCAGGGATGCGTTAGTCCGTGGACCGCCACGGATCAGATCCGGTTGACAAGTGTAATTATGCTCTTGCTTCACGAAGGAAACAATCACAGCAACGACAATCACGACTAAACGAGATTGTGGCTCTTCTCAAGATCAAAACCAGGTTTGATCAGGAGGAAAGAGGGGGAGAGAATCTCAAATCTTTCGAAGGCTTTTTCTTTATGAAAAAGTTCGCCAAGATCTGCTAATTCTCCTCTAAAATTCGTGGTCTATTGTTCAATTGGACAGCACATCGCGCTCAGATTTCAGATCCTCTCAAATGAGGACCCTGAGCTTCTATTTATAGGCTTTGGTCACCGCGTTTTCTGATAAGATTAAGTGTTTTGATATCATCTACAGTTGATAACAACCCAGGTGCACTTAAGGATAGCTTCAGAATAGTTGGGGAGGTCTTGAGACGAAAGAATTCTAATAAAATATCAAAATCCGTGTTTTGGGAGGTTTGGGAGGCCAAATACATCGTGGTGGCTCGGAGCTGTGCAAGCCACCATTTGGTGACTCGCATGTGTGCGAGCCTCCTGGCCTGTTGTTGTGTCTTTTTAACCCTTTTGGCTATTTGTATCTCCTTCAGTTTGCTTGTTTCCCCCCTTTACGTGTGTTTCGTCACTTTGTTGACTTATGTGCTTTACCGGTTTGCTTCATGCGTTTTATCAGCATCAGATAATCTTCTTTGACTTGGGTGATGACGTTCATCATGTTTTCTTTGTCTTGAGCTGCGTATGGGAACCCGCAGGTAATTTTTAACGTCTATAGATACCCCCTCCAAAATGTTTCAGTCTCATTCCTTTTATAGAAGAGTCTGGAATACTTTGGATATGATAGACCCAACCTTCAGTCGGTTTGATAGGACCTGTAATTAGTTCCAGTTCTCAGCT